TAGTTGTGTATATATAGTGAGTGCACACATGTATATAAACAGTGAATCAATACATGTGTGTATATTGAGTGAATCAATGCATGTGTTGTGTGTATATTGAGTGAATCAATGCATGTGTGTGTGTGTGTAGTTGTGTATCTATAGTGAGTGCACACATGTATATAAACAGTAAATCAATACATGTTTGTGTGTGTATAGTTGTGTGTATATATATAGTTGTGTGTAGATCGTGAGTGCACACATGTACTTAGAACGGTCGCTCCTATCTGTGTGTTTTGGTATACGTGATGGTGGGTGGGTGCAGGCATGTATTTAACGCTTGAATTGATGTATGTTTGTGTATATATTGTGCGTCTAAACATGTATTTAACGAGTGAATCCATGCATGTGTGTGTATATATCGCGAGTATAGGCATGTATGTAAAACGATCACTCCTATCTGTGCAATAGTGTAGACATGTGTGAAGAACAATAACTACCATCGTGAGTGGCCTATATATAGTGTAGAGTTTTATATCGGTGTGTGTGTACACTGTCCTGAGTTTGACTGCGACGTATAACTTGGTGCGCTCATACTCATATACGAAAGCACGCGCTTGTGGTACAAATCTTTCATGTGAATATACCTACCATCATACGGAATGGGGCCCAACTACTTCCGATAAGCCTATACATTCACTACATAGTAGTGATGACTCATTGCAAACCTCATATGACTATACCTACCATCATACGGAATGGCACCCAAATACTGGCCTTAAACCTATACATCCACTACATAGAAGTGATAACTCATTGCAAACCTCATATGACTATACCTACCATCATACGGAATGGCACCCAAATACTGGCCTTAAACCTATACATCCACTACATAGAAGTGATAACTCATTGCAAACCTCATATGACTTTACCTACCATCGTACGGAATGGCGCCCAAATACTGGCCTGTGGCGAGATGACGGAAGCGGAACATCGAGTTCCATCGCCCAATGCCACCGCGCATGGGGTCAGGATGGTACACCTCCACCTGTAAAGTGGAATAATAAGGAGTGTGTATGAGATACAGGGATACAAGGATGGTACACCTCCACCTGTAAAGTGGAATAATAACGAGCGTGTATGAGGTATAGGAAGACAAGGATGGTACGCCTCTAGTTGTAAAGTGGAATATTAATGAGTGTGTATGAAATATAGGAATACAAGGATGGTACGCCTCCAGTTGTAGAGTAGAATAATAACGAGTGCTTATGAGGCATAGGGATAGAATGATTGTACACCTCAACCTGTAAAGTGGAATAATAACGAGTGTGTGTGAGGTATATGGATACAAGGATGGCTCACCTCCATCTGTAAAATGGAATAATAACGAGTATGTATGAGGTATAGGGATACGATGATGGTACGCCCTCAGTCGTAAAGTGGAATAATAACGAGTATGTATGAGGTACAGGGATACAAGGATGCTAATCCTCCAGTTGTAAAGTGATGAGGTACAAGGACACATGGTTGGCATGTCTTCAGCTGTAAAGTGGACTAATGACAAACTGTTATTATTCTATTCGTGCACCCTCCTGGACAACTGATACATCCGAAGCGATTGAATACATATACCGAGTGCACACGAATATAGATCTATATATACACACAATACACGTATATACAGAACACATACGAATACAACCCCTTATTTGACATACATATGCATATATTATATATATGTGTGTGTGTGTGTAAAGTGTGTGTGTGTGTGTGTGTGTGTTTGTATATATATATATATATCAATATATATATATAAATATATATATATATATAT